CAGCTATGAAGAGATAGCAAAAAAAAAAAAAAAAACATACATACATACCTGTATCAGCATAAAGCTTTGACGACACAACTGACTTTCGAGATGCCTTGCCAGTCTTGATCTTCTCAGGCAACTCACTCACTATAGCCGTTGGGAGTGTGCTGCTGGTGAGACGACGACTCTTGCGCTTGCTGACTGTCGATTCATCCACTATCTTCTCAACTGCCAAAGACTTTCTCCCTGTTCTCTTACTTGCTTGCTTAGATGATCTATTTCTGCCTACCTCTTCTTCTTCGCTGCTCTCAGAGTCTGTGAATATGAGGCGCAAGATTATGCAAAGGAAACTACTCAATTTCTACTCTTCCTTATTTCAGGCTAAACATTTTTTTGCATATATATATTCATTCTTTTCATGTGTTATCTCCAGATATTTACTGACAAACAAAAAATGCAACAAACTAAAGATGTTGGTATTGTCCATGGAAAGTTGGTGCAAAGTTTGCAGGGATTGGACAGGATGAACTCAGAAAAGAAAAGAATAGAAAAGAAAAAGAGAGAATAAAAAGAAGAGAAAAAGAGAAAAACAAAAGAGGGAAAGACCTCCAGAACATCATCTACAATGTACTTGTAATGAGAGCTCTACTCAGTACTACTGTTATAATACAAAAAAAGTGCCACATTCTTTCCAACCTTTTATGCTTGTTAGTGGGCTATTGACGCTAGATCTGGTTGACATTCTATCTGGAGATCTCTGGAAAAACAATAATAAATAAATAAATAAATAAATAGAACATACTTGATGATGAAAATCATATGAAAATAACAAATCAAACAGCATCTAAAATAATATTTTGCATAATTATTACACACAAATAAACAACAAAAAAAGGTTGTTTCAAGGTCAATGAACCCCTGAAGGCAAGTAATCTGATACACTACATCAGCTAACTAACCTGTGATATTTCTGATCCTGGAGATGGGACAGAGATCAATCTGTGTGCAGCTTCAAAAGCCGAGTCTTCTTCAGATTGCAAAACCTGTATTGTTCTTCTTCTTGTGCTTTTGGTTGACTGAGATTGTTGACTCTTCTGTGAGGGAGTCTTTGCTTTAGGGACAACCTCTGTCGTGCTCTCTGATATCGACTGTCGTCTTCCACGTGTCTTCACGTGGGTTTCTGAAGCAGCCTCTGACACTTCAGATGAAGCAGACTGTCTTCTTGTGCGGACTGGAGTTTTGGCTTCTTGGACAGTCTCCATTAATTCTTTTGAAACAGACTGGCGTGTCCTGCGTGTTGGTGTCTTGACCTCCTGAGCTGCTTCTGACACATCAGAGGACACTGACTGTCTTCTTGTCCTTGCAGGAGTTTTCTTCTCTGGTGTGACTTCTAACACTTCCTTTGTGACAGATTTCCGTGTCCTTCGTGTTGGTGTCTTAGCTTCCACTGCAATGTCAGAAACATCAGATGCACCAGATTGCCGCCTTGTACGCATAGGAGTCTTGACTTCAGGAGTGGCTTCTGACGCCTTTGATATGGACCTTCTTCTGGTACGTGATGGGGTCTTGGTTTCAGGTGTGGTCTCTGAAACCTCTCCAAGTGTAAGAGTGCCAGGCGTGCGACTGGTCTCTCCTGCAAGTGAGCGACGAGTTCTTCGGGATGGAGTTCCTGTTATCTGTTCATCTAAAACAAGAGGCACAAAACCAGTTGAAAGTTCTGCATCCTCTTTAATTGTTTCTAAGCTCTCAATGCCAGCAGCTTGTTTGGCTGATTTTCTGCGTGTCCTTGTTGGTGTGGATTTAGTTGGAGTTGCTTTGGTGGGAGTACCTTCTAATTTCCTAGGGGTGGTTTTACTTTTTGGAGCTATAATCTCTAGACTCTCTGATACCTCTGCTTCTTCTTGAATTGTCCCTAAAGACTCATCCAAGGCACTTTGTCTGGTAGAACGCCTACTCGGGGATTTGGTGGCAGAAGCTTCAGCCTCTCCAGAGCTCTGCCTCCTTCGTCTCCTTGTGGATGGAGTTGTAGGTGATGAGGGTGGAGTTGGCAGGACATCATGAGTGGCTATAGACACAGACTCTGGTTCCTGAACTGCTGCAGGTGCCTCCTCAGTTTCATCAGTAGACAACTCCAGCCTCTGAGTCACTTTCTGCACTTCCTCTGCTGCTGCTGAGGCTCTTCTCTGCATCCTCCCTGACAAGACAAGGTTAGATGTGGGAGATGTGGCCCGCTTCTTTGTAACCGGCGTTGGCACCTGTCCAATCTTTCTTCCTGACCTTGTCACCCTTTCAAAGGCAACTTCACTTAAACTTTTGTGGGCAGGAGTCACTGGTTCATCTGCTGTATTGCCACTTGTCCTTCGACTTCTTCTTGGGGTTGCAGGAGTGGCTGGTGATGATGTGCTGACTCTTCTACTTCTTCGCACTGAAGCTACCCTTGAAGTTTCTGGCACTTCCTCAGCTTTTCTAGTTGGTGTTTCTGGTCTAGTAGGAAGTTTAGAACTTTCCTCTAAAGGACTGCTTTCTACTTCTTGAATCATTTCTTCAATCTTCTTGCTAACCTGAGTATCTCTAGTTTCCACAATGTCTGACTTAATTACAGTACCATCAGTGGCTGGCGCACCATCTTCTAAATCAACAGTTTTTTCCTCCTTGGAATCCTCAGGAGGTGTAACATCTAATCTACCAATTTCTGCTCTTTCTACAGCTTCCTGTTCTAGCTGAGACTCAACTTCAGCATTTACCTTCTCTTCAGTTTCATCTGTCTCCATATTTTCTTTTTCTACTAAGACACTTACTTTAGAGCCAACTACACCATCTACTACAGATGTACCCATCTCTTCTTCCATTTTTTCGGCAACACTCTCCTTTTTGCCTGTGTCTATGTCTTTCTCCGGGACTTCCACTTCTTTGCTCTCTTGATGAATGACCTCACTCTGTCCTTCATCCACGTCCATTGAGTCTGCTGCAGATGGAATGTCCAATTTTTCTGACTGATCTTCCACCACCTCAGTCGAGGACTTTGAGATGTCTGAAAATGATATTGTTTCTACGGCTTTGTGGTTTAGTTCTGATGATCCATTTGTTGATGAGGTATATGATACTCCTTCTTCACTGCTTGCAATTGGTTCTCCTGTCTCTGTACCAGTTATATTCTTCTTTGATACATCCTCTTCAATATATTTTGCAATTTCTTCATTATTGTTCTCTACACTGATAGTTTCTGATCTGGTCTCTGTGAAGACAGATTCCTTCGGTAATGGAGACTCTACAGTCTTCCTGATGACTTTTGTCTCTGAGACTATCTCTGTTTTGAAAACCTGCACACTTACGGGATGTCGCTGGGAAGCGTCAACCTTAATTTCCTCTTTGTCTTTGGTTTCACTTAATTCTACAAAAGTCTTGTTATCTGTTCCATTTCTATCAATTCCTTTCTCCTGTTCACCGTCAGAGCCATCGTTTTCACTTTCAGAATCTGAAAATCGCAGAGGGCTGAATCGCTCTGTTGTATCTAGAACCAGACTCAGATCTTCCTCTTCTGAGAGAGCTTCAACTATCATCTCTTCCTCTTCCTCAGACAGCTTCTCAATGATCTCCTCTTCATTTTCTGCACTGCCACCATTCTCTTCTAATACAAATTCCTGTCTGGTCACAGTAATAGCTTCTTCTTGAAGCTGGTCTTTTGTTGTTGATTCATCTTCGCTCTCAGAATCTGAAAATTGTAGAGTGCCAAAATGTTCTGATTCATTGAGTTGCTGCTGTAACTTCTCCTCTTTGGTCTCAGGTTCTCTTGGGATGAGCGTCTCTTTCTCTATCAATACAGATTTATTTACCTCCTCATGATGGACTTCCTGTTTGGAGGTTTCTACTACATATTCTACCCGTTGGACTTCAATGATACCACGGCCATTGTTTTGCAGTTCATTAAGGCTGCATTCTATTTTCTCATCTGTTTCACTTGGCTTCTCAGAGTCAAGTTCCCTTTGTTCTACTCTATCAGCCATTGCATCAGATTCCTTGGTCACCTCATCTCCTGCTGAAGATATTGCAGACTTTTCGGAGACATTGAAGTCATCCTCTTCCGTGAAGCTATAAAAGTCCTCATTCACTGTTGTCTCCCGGCTCGGATACTCAACATCTACTTCATCCTCAGAAGCTCTACTTGCATCCACTTCATCTGCATCAGCACACTCCTTGAAGACACTGCAAAAATGGAAGACCTTTAAGTAAACATAAAAAATATATGCACAAATAACTAAACTATACACAGGCCATAAAGACAAACTTTCATGTACATGAAAACTCTAGTAGACAGAGCAAATATGTTAGTTTGCCAAGTAGCCTGAATTTTATATCTTGGAGACAATGACAGAAAGAAGAAAGAGAAAAAGATCTTAAATACTATACAAAGAAAATAATAATCAGATAAGATACAAATATACAACTACAAGAGATATAAAAAAGAACATTTCCCTATCCACATCCCCATTATAGGCACATAAGCATGATAGCTACTGAAAGACCACCTCCATTATAGCATTATAGCTACCAATACCACATAAGCAGCTTGTTTTTTTCAAGCCAGGTATGCTTTACTTCATGCTCTAACCTCTGGGGTAACATTGCTTCTGCCCGAGTTGTTTTGGCCACGTAGCCAGGCAGAGGTTGCCGTGGCGATGGGATTCCAGTAGACTTCCGCCTATACAAAGTGAAAATGTATTGGTCAGGGGTCGAAACAAGACAAAATTCCATCCTGAGACATACACCCCCTTTTCCTCCATAAACCCAGAAGAATGCATCCATGCTCCTCATATTTCTACCAACTTTGAGAGGAAAACTAGACTTCCAAATTTAAAATTTATTTTAGGGGTAACTGTGTCATGCAAAACAATGTGTCACTGTGTCACTGAAAAACCTGTTTGGTACCCAGTTAATCGAACTTGACTACTACTCTCTCAACAGATACAAACAAACAAACATGCAACCTTGTTCATGCTGACAACTTCACAAGATCTTCAACTGTACCTGTGATAAGTGGGTCAAAGAAGGTAGTTTATAAAATCCACATACAATAATCATAGGTAAAATGGGGGTATAACCAACAAAAGACACTAACGGGAAATAATCATTCCTTACCTCACTGGGCTTAGCTTCTTATTGTGGATTTCTGGACGAGGTGACACGGCAATCCAGTTTCCGCTGCTTGTTTCTTTCTCTTCCTCATTGCATTCCATTTCATCTGTTTCTTCCTCTTCTACCTCTACATCCTCCATCTCTTGTTCCTCAGCTTCTGTCTTCCTAAATGGCTCCTCCATGTCTATAGACTCTTCCTCTGCTACTTCTTGTTCAGCAGCTATCTTTTCCTCCTCTTCATCAACTTCCTTTTCATCATCGACTTCTGCAACATCCTCTGCAACATCCTCTTCATCCTCCTCCTCCTCCTGCTCCATCGCCTCTTCTTCTTCCTCCTCCTCCTCCACTGCCTCATCAATCTCCACTGCCTCATCAATCTCCACTGCCTCATCAATCTCCTCTTGCTCCTCATCCTCTTCCACATCAAGTTTCAAGGGTGTCAGATCATCCTCTTCATCCCTATCCAGCACTTCTTCCTTGCTGTTGCTCTCTCCTTCTGTTCTCATCTTGGGGAGGTGGAAACGTAGTTGCTTGGGGGTCATGCTAGTATCGTTGACTTTGCTTGTCACAACCTCCTCACTGGCTGCTAAAAGAAAAGATTCCGTTCAGTACCTTCCTCCTTTGAGAAATGATCAGGTTCATTAACCCATTACCACTGGTATATTTTGAAGCTGAAAATAAAAGTTTCCGGGAGGTTACAAAATCGGCGCACAGGGCTTGCCTGGACTCTGCCCGTGCTGGCCATGGCCTGCTGCTGCGTCGGAGTGCGAGCCCTGATACACATTACTTGTTTTAAGCTCCTTGCATAGACATCAATACGATATTTTACCCTATGAATCACTGAGAAATAATATAGAAATACCAGCTTCTTATTCTACTGAAGGCCTAGAACACTCATAGTAATCTCCTTTCATTGTATATTATAAATATATTGAAAATAAAAAGTAAAAGAAAACAAACAAAAGAAAAAGATGAATAAGAAAAGAAAAAGGGGGGCTGATAAAAATAAATACAACCTTGATAAGGCATGCTGATCCAATGACTACACTTAATGATTACTTACAGATACTGGCTCTCTTGGTAATTCTCGGGAACACTGGGATGGAAGTGTCGCTGGTTGCTGATGGACTCATGGGTCTTTGTACCATCTGGCGCACCTGGAAGGATAGTAAGAAAAATGAAAGCTGTTCATCAAGTAGAAATATAACCAATGATCAATAACAAAAAGAATCTTTGAAAGAAAGAAAGAAAGAAAAAATTAATATATATATAAATATATATAATCTTCAATTTCTATCAATCTTGAGTGAATATCACAGATAATGCTATTGTTCTGTAAAATAACTAGTTGAACAGAGATCTATTTCAACATCCGTCTGAGCCAAGATTAGTGTGCGCAGTGCCATACAATACATTGTAGTAATTCAATAATAATTCAGAGTAATAAAATAGGAATAATAACAGCCAGAGTAATAGTAATAATAATAATAATAATAATAAATCAAGCATAGTAAGGGAACAATTGTGGGCTACAGGGTAAAAAATGAAAAGAGGAAGAGAAAAAATGAGAGATGAATACAGAAAGAAAAAATAATAAAGAAAAGAAAACCAACCCACCTTAAGTATGGACTGTGGGGTGTCCGCAAGAGGTGACTCTCCCACAGAACGGTTCAGTGGTTTCCTCTTACGGGCAATTTTGGGGGTTTGCAGTAAGGACAGCAAATCAGAGGAAATGTTTTGAGACACACTGCGGATCATAATAGAAACAGATATAGATATGAAACCTTTCAGACATTTAACTATATCATGAAATTATCATGCATTTTTCAGGCACATATATCATTATTTATGTGAATAAACACAAATCAACACTACAAACCTGGCATTCACATCCATGCTGCTATGAATATTTTTTCTTAGGACTGACTCCATTAGTCTTGAGGTATCGTCATTCAGAAGGGACACCTCTTGGCGGCTCCTCTTAATGGTTGGACTAAAAAGGCCAATATCACCGTCATCATCAACGTATCTTAATTGGCTTGCTTCGACTCGCGATGGGAAAACTGTGTGGGATATCTCCCTAAAACAAATGAAAGTAAAATCATTGTTATTATCATTATTCATTGTATTTCTATTGTTAATATTACCAATGATTTTATATTTTTTCTTTTTCCTGGGAAATGGTATATATGAGATACAGCTAACATTTTCATTCAGCTACTATCATTAACCCATTAACGCTGATATATACTGAAGCCCAAAATAAAAGATTCCAGGCGGCTAAATAATTGGCAAGCGGAGCTGCCCCGGAGTCTGTCCACCTGCCGGCCGTGACCCGCTGCTGCATTGGAGCACGAGCCCCAATACAGTGTGACACTGGTGGGACGCCCGGCAATGTTAATTTTTTGGGGGTGTCTCATATGTGGGACACCCGTCGTTAGTGGGTTAACTGACATACCAATAATTCACTGTATTCCTTTTTCTCTTCATTCTATTTCTTCTCATTTTTTCTTTTTAAACTATCTTTCATTGTCATTCTTAAAACTGCTGAAAGAAATTCTGTGTAACTGACAGACAAACATGATATTTTTCTCTCTCCAGAAAATATTCTGATTATCAATTATGTGTTAAGGTAGCCTGATGGATAGTTATCATTACTAAAGAACTGAAGTTCACATCCATTTCTTTCTCATTACTTATTACATTCAGTAAGGCCAAGAAGTAGAAATACAATAATAATAATAATAATAAAATTTGAGTTCTAGTAACATAATACAAAGGATTCTTTTTCCTTAGTTTCTTGATACGCAATTTCTTAAATATACAATGTGGTGTTCTTAATGTAAAACTCTGGAACATTACCTGGTAGGATCTCTCAATTTTGGTGAGTTGATATCCCCGAACCCAAGGCCTTCAGGCTGTCCATACCCTCTACGCCTTTGAGCTTTGCTCCTGAATGGGGTGTAGGGTGTGGTCACGCCCTTATTTACTGACCACGTGTCTTGTTCTCGCTGTATCATTTTATTAATGTTAGTTGCAGTTGTCTTGGGGCTGCATGCTGCTTGCCGGATCTGGGCTGAGAGGGGCTGGGGTTTACTGTAAACAGTGTGTGTTGGTCCTCTGTTGCTTAAGTTGGCAGATGACAGCTGGAAAGAAAATTTTTGCTGAGCAATCTTAAAATTTAAGTACTTTCTCCATCTATTCTTTACAAAGAAAAAATACAAATTCCACTAACTATTTATAAGTCTCATCTACTAACCTTCTTAGCAACATCAGGCAAGTGTGTGAGATAGCCATGGATGAGTGCTGACCTTGCTCCCTGTCGCTTTTTGGCAGTACCCAGACCACCACGCAAGCTGTTTTGCAAAACTGCAGCTTCATCGTATCTAAATAAGCAAACAATAATATATTGGATAAAACTAATGAAAAATAACAAGAAAGCATTTAAAACGCCTTTTTCAAAAATGATTTGTCTGCAAGAACAGCCATCACCAATAAGGAAAAACTAACCTCGCTCTCTGCAGATAATAAACAAGGAGATAATCCTGGGCTGCAGGATACGAGGAGGTCCTCAGATAGGAAACAAGTGCATCCTCTTCCAAGGGTGAGAGAGGTAGGTGAACCACACACTCCAGTTTCCCAAGTTGTTCACAACCTGTTGCAAACAAAAACAAAAACAAAATAAAATTATAAAAACAATGGATGTGCATCTTAGTGTTGAATAAACAGTTTTGTGTAATCCGATCACTGCATATATTTTTTTTTGCTAGTTTTCTTTTCACTGGACCAGGTTTCTCTTAATGATACACTTCTAATAATGTTCTTGTCCTGTCTTTTGCTTCTTAAAACTGTACCCTTACTTAACCCCTATGATCCAGATAATGTGACCATAATTTGGCAGAGGGCCAGGATAACAGGTACTTGTCATCATGAGAATTTCGGCTGAAGGACTGGGTGATGGGAATGACTTGCAGCAAATGCACAAAACACTCTGAGGGTGCTTGGACTCAGTGGGATTTAGGAAGGGGCTTTTGCATTATTTGATCATTCCACAAAGCATTAATACACCACAAATACCTGTGAAAAGATGATTTAGAAGATCTTCTGAGTTGTCCTTAACCCGATGAGTCCTCTGGTAGTGGAAGGCTTCTCGGATCAGGCCATTGGCTAAGAGGAGGGTTAGATGCAGTCGAATGTCATCCAAGTCCACCTTTGGAGGCTGACGGATCTGGGCATAAGTCAGTGCCCTTGTGTGTTCACCCTGAGGAAGTTATTTATTTAGCATAAGGGAATATATGTTTACATTTTTATTGCTAATAATCATATTTTTGTTTTGATAATTTTATAGGTAATCTACTAGCAGTGCCCTAGGCAGCATTCACAAAAAATCTAAGAATTTCCTTTTAACAAATTAGGGAATGTCCCAAAAAATCTTTGACTCTAAATTTGTCATAGACTTAGTCCATGACTTGGACTAAAGGCTGTCCTGAGCACTTTCACACTGTTCAAAGTTAACTTAACCGGAACTCATATTTATAGTCTAAAGACCTAATGGTACTATGCCAATGTAATAATGGAAAAAGTTTCCTTATTCTACTTGCATAATGACATATTACACATCTTATCTTTCTTAAATGTTTAAGTAGCACTGTCTACATTTGTTTTCATTGTAACAATTATGTAATGCCATTCATACTTATGAAAAAGAAAACTACAGTACACACATATTTTATCATCAATGTCATTCTCAGTTTTAAATGATGTACCAAAAGAAGAAACCTGAGTGTTTAACTGTTAGGCAATGGGCCAATCATATGACAGAAAGAAATTGTGTGAACCTCAAGGGAAATGTAATTTTTTTCCAAAGCAATATACAACTCACCTGATAGAGGAAAGCTTTAACAATTCTTCTGTGTTGTGAGGGTGTAATGTCATTAGTGTTAACAAGAGGATCCAGTAACACGTTAAGTCCCTCCTGAAGAACAAGAGAAAAAAACACAATAAGGAAAACACATAACCAAGTTCCATATCAACATAACCAAGTTCCATATTAACATAACCATCAACAATTGTCTACATTTGTCAATAAACATGGGTATGACACTTTACCTGGAAGTCTTTGTGGTCAAGCAACCAGAAGGCCTGGGTAAGCTTGATGTGTGAAGGCGACAGAGAAAAACTTGATGGATACTTCACCAACTCCTCTACTACTCTTGTGTACCTGGAGGCACATATTGCAACATGAGATATGAACAATCCTCTTACAATACAAACTATATAGGTATTACTAAAAATAAGCAAAAAGAGATGTAGGTTATGTGAGGTTTCACTGAACAGTATAAAATCAAATTTTATCAATACTGCGTATCAGTCCCAAAACCTTACCCATCGGAGAGGAGAGACGCTAGATCAAGGAAGAGGTATTGGACGATGCGGTGCTTGGTGGTAGTGGAGATATCTGGTAGGAGGAAGATGGCTAAAAGGGCATGTAGAGAAGGTGGAGGGTACAAACCACTTCCTCCCTCTTTTTCCCAAGCCTTCCCAATACTGCCGCCACCATTTAAGTCTTCCAACAAACCATCAATCATGAGGATCTCAGCACCATTGAGGGTGGTGCTCAGTCGCTTGATTTCTGAGCGTCTGGAACAGGATGGAGTCAGTTGTGGAACCTCTTTCAATGCTTTGAAACTCAATTTTCATTTAACATTAGAATTAATTTTCCAACCTCTAGAACTGTTACCAGCACAAACAGTAAAAAGAAAGAGGAAAATTAACATTATGATCAAACTCATATTTTCTGAACTGAACAATAATTACCTGTTCTTGTATATCCGACACAAGAGATCAGCAGGGAAGGGTACATGACACTCTTCAATGTCTTCTGTGGGACTATGGGAAAGTAGGCCACAGTGATAAAACCACAGGACGACACTCAAATGTAGCATCAAGAGACTCACAACCTGGACACGACTCTCAAGCTCACCAGCACCTTTGGGGGGAAAAACACAAACAAAATTATTATACCTGTAACACCTCTGTCCCATGAATTCATTTGAAGTAGATAAGAAAGCATTTCCAAACATAATTAGTAACTCAAAATATTTTCTTAGAAGAAAAGAAAAAGAAAAAAGAAAAGGAAAAGAAAACAAACAAAAAAAAGCTCCTTTGCCCATGGAATAACAAATACTGTTTCCCAGGACCTCTCACCTTCATACATATTTAGGCATAAACACACACAAAAGTAAAATGGAGAAAAGCTGGAAATTTACCTTTCATGGTTATCATATTAGTTTTGGCACAGTCCCTTATGGCAGTAACAACGGTGGTGAGAGAGGCCAAACTGTTGAGATTCTGGTGAAGAGTGGTAATGCTCTCTGCACTAATGACTCCACAGTCTGGGTCAAACAAGGGTAGACCTGAAAAAGAGAAGTTGAGACTGAAAATGTCCATTCTCTTCTACCTAAACGCAGTTCTACATCAACACAATTCAAGTCTATCTGAATGAGGCTTCTGTAGGGGGGTGGGACTTACTAAGGTTGTCATTGGTAGCCTTGATGGCACACACTCTCGACCAAGCCCAGTCTAATAAAGATGGTAGGGAGCATCCAAGGTTAGTAAAGCGACCCTCGGCAAATTCTGCAACACACTGAACCAAAAGGGACACCAACTGCTGGTCCAGAGCCACATTCAGAAGGGCTTCACGCTCCAAAACCTGAAATTTTAAAAGATCATTCAGTTCTCTCTCTCTCTTTTTTTAAACATATTTCATAGTAAATCACTTCATCAGGGGTAATGATAACTTCAGAACTTCTTAAAACTCACCATAGAAGAGCCTGTAGTTGTCAGATGGTTCTCTTGAGGAATAAGGCCAGAAAAGGTGCACATTGCATGGGCCTCTCCTGGGCTCACCACTGCAGAGGGCCCACACGATGTAAGGTAGGTTAGGGATGCCTGCTGAGCACTCTGGCATCGATATTCCATTAGACCTTGACTAGTTAACACATGGGCATCTACAAAAGGATAAAATACCAATGAATAGTTACCCTTGTTTCCCATTAGGCCCAGATTTTTGGTTATGAAAACATTATATATACATATATCATGCGTGTTTCAAACTTTCTGGGAAAAACGAAAAAGAAAAAGAAAGAAAGAACCCAAAACTTAAAAATCAAGAAAAAAAGAGAAAAGAAAAAAGGAAAAAAAGAAAAGAAAGGTGAACATAAACACATTCTTTACCATATGAGAGGGCAGCAGGGAACCAGTCACTGTCATTACAAGTGCGTGACATGTGTCTTGTCCATGACGCTGGCTTGGGGGCTGCTCCAAGGACAAACTCATTAGCTCCTGCAGGTACTCTGTCCAACACATGGAAACTCATGTATGGGCACAGCAAAGCCTCATCTAGCTTCAAATTAGAGGGCATTTGAGCCTGCAGCGACAAAGATAAAAACACGTAGTGAATAAGTAGATTACGATGTAGGTGGTAGAGTGGGTGGGTAAGCAGGTATATAATGAAGGAGGGAAGGATCCATGTGGAACCATGTTATGTCTCACTTGCATCCATTAACATATTCTTATAATAGGAAATTCATTTACATTCCAGTATATCACCTATGGGAAATGATTATACAAATTCAAACTAAACTGTGTCATACCAATTTTGATAATCTTGTACAGTAAATATGCTTACCTGATACCACTGGTTAATGTCGAAGATGGCCAGATAGTGATTAACAGTAATACACCCCCGCTCCAGGACGCCTCCTACCCACCCAAACATTGACAAGCTTTGTTCGGGTGCTGGTCCAGCTGAAGATTATAAAAGAAATCAGTGTATTTTCTCACAAGAGTTGCAAAATTAACTGAGAAAATCAAACAAAATTGTAAACTGAACAAAACTGAAGATCCTCAAGTATAAATAAATAATGACAATATCCCATGGTTACATTTATTGATATCTACCAATCAGATTTCAAGTGTCAAATTTACACTGTTATCTAAATCTCACCATCTTCATCAGGAGTAGCAAGTGCCGAAGCAGCTGAAGATCCCCCTGGTGCCACAGCTGAATTGTGGGTTGTCTGCCGCACTGTCATGGCAGTGAACACTGTGCTGGGTTGGGCTGGCTGGCCCTTCAGACCCAGACCTCCAATGGCATCAAACTCGAACCTCGGAGAAATAGATGCAAGGCCTTGATACCACAATCCATGCCCTTCTATCCATACTTTGTTGTCGTAAGTCATGGTATACATGGTGCACAGTGCTGGGGCTTTGTTCCTCCTAGCAGGCCTTTCATCCTTACTTTCAGAATCATCTGTGGGAAGCAAGCAAAATCACTGCACATTTAGTTATCATGTTGCACTATCACTCTATTCTCAATACCTCTTACTATGATATTACATCTATGAAAGACCCAGCCATGTATCTTACCAGATGGACCCCAACTCCGACAGAGCCAAAGGTAAACAAAATTTTTGGGGTCATTCTCTGGTTCTTGGCAGGCAAAAGAATGTACTGGAGGCATGTTGTCTTCATAGGGACTCGCACAACTGAAAAGCCAAAAAGTTTATCATGTTCTGCATAATTTTGAGATTGAATTCAAGACAAAGATTACTTTACAAGAACATAAAAAGTACTTACCCCTAAAAACAATATTTACAAATTTCAAACATAATACAAGTTATCAAATAAATGAAAAAAATAAACAAAAATTAGGAAATAAAGTTAAAAAACAAGTAAAGGTTAAAATAAATAAAAATTATAACTCACTCTATGGTTAATGTTGACAGGTTGATTATCTGGAAAGCCCCAAAATTATATCCTATAACAAGGGAGGCAAGCTGCGGGATGAAGGACATGGCAGTAACTACCACACAGTGACTTGCTGTCTCAAAGAGCACATTGTCGTCAGGTCCTATGAGCTGGAAGCGGCCATTGTGACTCATGCCATCTGGAAAAAATTATAATGATGAAGTACTGTCTTTCGAATTTCAAAGGAATAGCAAATCCTATACCATAAATGCTTACAGATTTCTAAGATTACCTGATAAATAAATGGTTCTGATATTCCATTGATATACGTATATATATATATATATATATATATATAATATAGATATATTTATATATATTATATATATATATATATATATATATATATATATATATATATATATATATATATATATATATATATATATATATATATATATATATATATATATATATATATATATATAATATATATATATATATATATATATATATATATATATATATATATATATATATATATATATATATATATATATATATATATATTCAACTATATGTATTACATTGCTCAAAATCAAATCAAGCATTGGAGTATTCTCATTAGAAGTACATTTCTATAATTCCATATCACTACATCAGTCTGGCTTTAATGCCAACAGAAAATAGTACTCGAGTTCTGAAAGCCTAAACTCAAGTGTAGTACACAGTTGAAACAAACACTAACCACTTAAACACACAGTTGGATGGCAATTCTGCATAACTGCACTAAACCGAGAACTCTCTGCTTGGCCATCTGGTATGGTTATATTCACCAAAGTTCCTGGAGAGACCTCATCAGACAAAACCTTATGACCTGAAAAACGTAAAAGCAATTAAAGAGAATATAGGTAAATAAAATATTACAAAAGACACTTTGTTTATCCAGGGACAAGAAAACATTGACGACTCACCTCCTAGGTCTAATGCTAAGTCAACTAGATGAAGCGTGCCATGCGCAGTTCCAACGACCAACAGACCTCGCCATGGACGCAACTCTGCTGATAAGGTGCCCGGATCCACACTCACTTCTCCACCGGACACCATACACACACTGGTTACCTTTAAAATTAATAATACACATTTTGTAAATTAATAAAATGAAAATTAATTCATCTTCTCACCTGATGTATATTCATTTTTTCACTGATTTACAAATAACCTGCTTTGGATACCACCTTACTCTATACAAGACATGTTCTTTCTATCTTCATCCTTACCTTGTAAGTGAAATGAAATACTCTAGTTACACGTGATGAGTGGAGAGATAAAAGCGCAACCATTCCCTGAGGTCTGCGGTCTGCACCAAGGTCCACACCAACTGCAACTTGGGAAATTGTCCCAAGCCCAACACCAGCCACACTTGTTACCTATAAGACGAATAAGTAAATGAAAAAATAAATAACCATTTTTTTTTTCTTTATGTTTCACTGACTCTATACTTCAACAGAAACAAATGAAAGTAACAATAAAAAAGAAGTTGATGTTATCCAATTTCTATCTAAAATCCACACTTTAATCTGTAAAGTTCTCAATTGTATAATCCAGCACAAAGAAAGTACAAAGAACATAATTCCAGACAGCCATCCCCATGAATATCAACATAGTCAACAAAAAAATTCTCAGGCACTCACCCTGGCATCAGCATTGTGCATGATGGCACCAAATGTCCAGGCAGCTTTTCTCCTTCCTGTCGTAGGCTCAATGACCTCCAAAGTGGGACCGCAGGCACGCCAAGCCAGCTGCCCCCCTCCAACAAAACCCCCCAACACTTTATGTGGGGGGGAGGATGTGTCCAGCTCCTTTGTGTGATCTTCATGGCTGAGCTGTAACTCGTGCGTGAGAGGTGGGAGGGGTGTGTGACGAACCCCATTCGCCACCTGCACTACGCTCACACCCACCATCTCCACCTGTTGAGGGGACAGGTATGATTAGGCTAATGGCCATAATATTTAAAAAGTCAATAAATAAAATTAATAGACCAATAAATAGAGTATAATTAAACTAATGAAAGTAAAAATGATGGTAAAAAAATAACAGCAACAACAATGAAAAGAAAAAGAAAAAGAAGAAAAGTCTTTACTTAGAATACTCTATTAGGAAGAAGAAAGAAAAAATCTTCACCAACATCCTCAACTAACTGCTTTCAATGAACCAGCAACATTACTAAAATAATTGAAAGATATGGACAACATCAAATCAATCAAAACAAAGACAACCAATAACTGCAACAGTAATTGCTGGTACTATCACTCTACATTTACAACAAAGTATAATGCCAACCTTTAATTATGCCTTCTAGCTATCACCTTTAAAGCTTCATGGGTTTATAGTAAAGTGGAGCAGTCAAGGTACAACATCCTGGAATTTCCGGCAACAACATGAGGAGGATTCTTTTACAGTACTTTACACTGAACAGAAGATGAATATTGAAAAAAGTCATAATTCTAGCGAAGAAAACATGTCCAAGGGACATACAGAAAAAGAATGTGAACAAGAAATTATAAAAAAGTAACTGAGAGCAAATATATAATCAAAACAATAACTTTTTATACATGAGCAAGTAGGTAACAAAAACAAGTAGTAGCCTCATCCTCTATTGCATCATCAAGACCAAGTAAACAATGACTGGCTTATACTTTTTACCTTTGCTCTTTAGTTTACTGTCAAATGTTATCAGCTATTTTAATTATGCTGATCATGTTCTAATAAGGGGGTTCAATTGTGGGGAGAGCTTCAGTTACAGATAATGACAAAATATAGATAGCAATTAGTAAAATAAATATTTTTCTAACCAAATGAGAGAGGGCAGGGAAGAGGAACTAAAGAAAAGGAATAAAAACCTTTACATTACGTATAATCAATAAGTGCTTCAGCTGTATTTTTAATAAAAGTATTATTTTTCTATTGAATTGCTGAACTTGAACCCACTGATGTTGGAGTAGCATAAGCATACATGTCATGTCCAATGTGATTTTGGTTTATTAAATTTACTTACACAACTAGCTACCTTATTTCCTAAACTTTTAATTAATTTTCTTATTTACTAATACAATTTCATATATTTATGTTACATCTTGTAGCACAAAGTATGCTATTTTCAGTATCAAAGATTTTTTTTTTTTTTTATTAAATATTGAGACTAATAAATGGGATATCAAAAATTAATCAGTACCAGTTCTAGCCAATAAATGAAGGATGTCACTCAATCTTTCTCAGGGACTTTGGTCGTTTATGGTGATACAAGTTAGCCCAACAGCATGGAGCACCTGATTAGAAAATTTACATTTTACTTTCTAATTCAGATATTTATTTGCCAAATGAAACCAAACTCAAGCTGTGACACCTTCATACTTATAAACAGAAAAAATATAAAAACATCCAGATCCCACATTAAGGATACCCATATTTGATGGTGACAGTCTCCTCAATTGACTGATACAGGATGGCTTTGGGGGAGGGATTAGGGAACTCGTAAAGGTTTGGCTACCATTAGATATTCATTACTTTTGAGAAAGTATTTTGAAAACACATTTATTTTAATCTTAGGTTTCAGCTTTGGATACGCACATAGTAACCAGCAATAGAAAGTGATAAATCTATCATATACATGTCACTAATTGAAAATAAATGTTATATGGCTTGCGGTTTAACTCAGAGATCAACATGCACTATATTCTAAAGAAAATAATGTACTTATTTTATATGCTGCAATTAACACCATGATGGCAAATATAATTAGTGCACTCACACACTGTGTTTTTAATAAGCATTTAAACCTTGCCAGAGCCTATTCTTTTCCCTCACTCAAGCTGTTTACTTGCAAGTAGGGCCTACTACAATAACCAAAGAACTCATACCAGCGACATGTCAAATAGTTTGTGAATTTCTATACGCTTATGAAAATGATGATCACATAATTATCAATGCCTGCTCTTCCATATTTATTGCAAGTCAATATAAAAACCTTCAACATGTTTTTACTGCCAGGATTGTTGACTCCTCTGCGAGCATTTAACCTGTGACCAGCGCTGGAAGAAAGGATTTGCTTCCAATATTGTGTCCATTAAAACAATCTAGTGGCCATGCAGAAAAGGCATTAGTATCCATTATAATGTGATATCTCAGCAAAGGAATTATATATTTATGAGAGGAATGAAACTGTGCCATTGTATCTCTCTTCTTCTTAGAGTCCTCTACCATAGGGGTCAAAGGGCTAGGTTGTTAAGTTTAGTATAGAATTAGGACTTATTGTATAAGGAGAAATACTAACAGCAGTATCAGATACTAAAATACTNCTGATGGCCCGTCAGCCGCCTGCCGCAGTCGCACCCCGCCCGATCCTGACCGCCTCCCCGCCTGACCGCCACCTCTCGCACGGCCAAAACAATGTGTAGGTCAAGTGGGGGTATTTCTGATCATCTTGGTGACAGCCATGAAAATATCAGAACTAAGAATAAATTACAGTTGAGATATTTGTCAATCTGCGGCTTGACAAGAATTGCCGAGGTGCTAGTCGACTGCTTAGGGTGGTGGTCAGGCGGGGAGGGTGCCAGGAGCTCGCCTTGCACAGTGCCAGAGACGGAGGACCAACGTCTGCATGACGACCAAAGCATTCCCTTCTTCTTGTCAGGTTTATGGAAAATGGACAACCACAGGCAGAGTCAATGTTCACTTGCCAGAGATCCTCTTTATTGTCACTCAAAAGTTCACCGATATAAATTCCTGGCAGAGGAACAGCAAGCATGGATTATGCCCAATGAAAATCAAGACTAATCTCCTGCTATGGTTAATTTAGCGGCCGTGTATTAGTGCGAGCCATATTACGGGTCGTGGAGGCGGCGAGGGCGTCTGGCACTCCAGCCCATGATGGAGCGCAGGCCAGGTGGGTCGGCGCCAACCGCCGCGCTCCGAGTCCTCGGCCACATTCCGTAAACAATGTGTAGACTCGAATGCCACCAACCAATCATTCGCAAATCAAGTACTGGTTATCTACGACCCGATTCTATCAAAATAAATATCAACGGGTCATATTTCTTAAAATAACCCTTTTGAAGGATGTCGATCAGTTACGCGCCTGACCTGTAAATACGTTCAGTCATTACGTGACAAGAAATCATAGCCAAGTACCCAACCTCCGACCTACACGTCCAGGTCTAATCGAATAATGACATTTAGAGCCTCTGCCGTAAAAGACGCTACTTCGTCGTTCGGGGGAGGGGAGAAATACACAAAATGAAAATATGATGGGCATAACCTTGACGTCAGTGTAGCCAATAGTGATGACCCATCGGCTGGAGAATGCGTGTTTGGCCAAGCAGGCCTGAGATCCCCTGGTGGCGCAGAGCAACTCGTTGAAAGGTGGGCCGGTTTCGAGTTGGCGTGAGTGATAGCACCATTACGCCAGAGGAATGCTGTCCATGCTCGTAGCTCATTACTACATTATCACGGGGGAATGTGGTGCCAGGCCTGGCGCCGCGTGCTTGGCTGGAGCTGTTATCCCGACGCCCAAATACGGCGGAGGACCTTGTGATTTCACTTATGACCGTAAAAAATATATGTTTACAGTCTTTCTCTTGTCTTCAACGATGCTAAGTAAATTTCTTCGAAAAGGATTTGCGAGCGAGTTCAGAGAACGTTTGCAAAATATGTGTAAACCTGTTTGGAGCGATGATAAAACCATTTCTCTCAAAAAACGAGTTGTGCCGTGATGGTATTTCATGTCACCTTGCCACACGATATCGGAATATAAGGGTAAATCGAGTTTAAGGACCCCTACCCCTTTAATTTGATCAGAGAAAAGCGAAATAAATGTAACTCATTTTCAAGTATTGGGATTAGAAATCACTAACTCATTCTAACAGAAAATAAAAAGCGTGATATACTCTATCCATTCCAGCCACGATTACATACAAAATCATATGGCGTACATTGAAACACACACACACACACACAACAAATGTAACAGCAAATGAAGAATTGCGACACAATACTGATACACCATTTTCGCTACATTTGCATGACAAATTAAATTATATCTTGTGAAAATTATAATACAAAATATTGCAAAATCAACGCATATATGCCAGTGACACGGGTCTGGTTGTGTCAAAACCACGATGTTGGGGGAACTTGGATTTTTTAAAGAAACAGATCTGGGTTAGATTACCTGCGGTGGCATACTGCAAGCATAAACATTTGTTATTTACGGATGGCGAAGTATAACCACATGATCCGCCGCGGTCGCTTTTCTTTATCACTCACGAATTTGCTTCGGACTTTACTGAGCATTTTGAAATAATGATGATACCATTAACAACATCAGTTTATAAAAACAGTGATGATATCAATATCAGCAAAGATAATGACGGTGATGTTAACAACAAAAGAATAAGATATAAGATTAACAGTAAAAAGAAAGACAATAACCAGACTAGTATGACGATAATGGCAACAGCAGTAAATAGCACCACCACCAGTAACAAAAACAACAAAACCTACAACTACAATAACAATGATGATAACAACAACAATAATAATAAAAATGATAATAATGATAATAAAGATAATAACAATAATAATTATGGTAATAATAGTAATATAAATAGTAATAATGATAATAACTAAAGCGCTCAGAGGACGCATACCTCTACCAAGGCAATACGGTCACTGATGCAATAAAAATATTCACTCTTCAAGCATTACATTAAAATTACCTCTTTCTTAAGTACACTGGTGACGACCGTCTTTTCCTATCTCGTAATGCTAATGAATAATTAAAAAATCCAGATCATAATCCAGACCACCACCAATTGAATGGCATCCAAGTTTGGCTAAGGCACACAAACCTTTGGCAAAAAAATCATATAAATCTGTCTATAACTTCTTGAGTTATTCTCCTAACCAACTAACCAACAAATTAAGCAACGCTACCAAAAACATAACCTCCTTGGCGGAGGTAATAATAACAATAACAATACCGATAATGATGATATAACTCTTAATAATGACAACTATAGCAATGATAATCACAACGGTAGCGATAATAATAATAATAACGATAATGATTATAATAACACTATTACTTATACTACTACTAATAGTAATAATAATCTATATTAATGATCATAAAAAGGATAATATTAATAATTACAATAGCAGTAGTACTAGTAGTATTATAATGATGATGATGATAAGGACAACAAAAATGATAATCACAATGATGATGATGATGATGATGATAAGGACAACAAAAATGATAATCACAATGGTGATAAAAACACTGATTATGAACACCATTTTTGAAGAATGAAAATAATAATTATGAATCAAAAATCAACATAAATAATATAACTGATAAAAAAACCTTCATAACGAACAATAG